TGGCCTTGCCTTCGATCATGGACCAAAAATGTTGGATTGTACTTAACATGCACGCGTCAATACCAAATTTGTTTGTACGGACGTATTTACATAACCTTTGATCTTTTTAACCTCAACTGTTACGTTTGGAATCAATGTGGTATATTTCTTTGGGCCATGTGGAGGATTGTGATGGCTTGTTTGCCTCTTGTGGTACTAATAGATAAAGGATCCGAATAACTGGCCACTGGTTACCACGGAGCTGGTCCCATCGAATGATTTCATTCGCCGGGGTGAAGCTTCTAGCAAACCTTTCGCATCGTTCGCTAGGGGTAGGCTAGGGCGACCTCGATTGGCCCAAAAGGCCCAATTAACTGTTTCTTTTTATTTTAAAAATTTCATGAACAAAAAAACATTTATTATAAAAAATACAAATGAGTATGATAAATTTTGAAAATGCCATCATATGACTTATGAGAAATGTCATGATACTTTATGAAACAGTCATTTCTCTAATTTATAAATTTACAATGAGTATGATAAAAAAATGGCCGTGTGATCTAGAAAATAAAATTTCCTTGCTAAAGTATAAAATTGCCATCCTCTAGATAGAAAATTCCATGAAAAAAAATGCACATTTTCTTATAGAAAACAGAGAAACAAATAAATTTATAAAAATGCATACTTTAATTTTTTGCCAAGCTGCTTTATAAAATTTCCATTTCTCTAATTTATAAATTTACTAGTATGATAATAAAAAATGGTGTGCCAATAAAAATGAAAAATTACCATCTCTTTATTATGAAACTATCATCCTCTTGATAATAAAAATATCATGCTCTCAAATAATAAAATTGCCATCCTGTTAATAATAAAATTGCCATCCTCCTAATAATATAAATGCCATGTTATTAATAATAAAAATGCCACACTCTTAATCTTAAAAAAGGCATCCTCTTGATGATAGAAAATGCCATGTCACAAAGAATAAAATGCCATTCTCTTATTAGTAAAACTGCTATCCTCTTAATAATAAAAATGTCATGTTATGAATGATTAAAACAACATACTCTTAATAAATATAACCGCCATCCTCTTAATAATAAAATTCCATGTTACAAATAATAAAAATGTCGTGCACTTCATAATAAAAATGGAACCTTTAAATACATGGAAATTTTAGAAAAAAAATCTCCTCTAAAAAACATGGCTGCTTTTAACAATGTGTTCTCTAAAAACATGGCAACTTTTGGGATTTGCAATAGCACATGGAAAAAAAGAATAGGGATTTTTGTTCTTCCAAAAGGGGGGAAATGGCATTTTTAGGCGAATTTTTGAATGCAAAAACAAATTTTAAACAATTTAAATTAAAATACATAAAGTTGTTCAAGCGCATGTGCTCACAGAACCCACTTCAGTCCAAGTGGTAAGCGGGCCGACGCTCATGCAGGAGGTCGCAAGTTCAGGGCAGTTCCAGCAAACGACTCCAAAAAACAAATGTGCGACAAGCCCCGCACGAAGAGTTGTGCTGCGTGACCGAATAGCAAGCAAGCATTTGCTGGAGTCTGCCCCCCAACGAATGGTCGCTGGATAACATTTCCGTAGATAAATAGATATCGGTATAATGAGATAGTTAATGAGAATAATTAAATAAATCTTACCAATCTGCTACCTCGAGGAGACTGCTAATGAGAATAAAGAAAAAATCTGGCTGAATCAACTACCTCGAGGAGACATCTAATGAGAATGTTAATACAGTATTGTACAAATCTGATTGGTCTGGCCAAAATTGAGTGCATAAATAATAAATGCAATAGAAATCCATACCTATAGAAGTTATGTTACAAAATCTGCATTGTCTTACAAAAAATGAGTAACTAAAACAAGATTTTGTAAGGCCCTTATATAGGGATGTCGTTCCATATGCTACCGCACACCCAAATCGAAAGGAGAATACAAAAACAGGAGCACACACAAGCCTCTGCTCCTAGGAAATTTTGCTCATGCTGGTATTTGCTTGCCGCCTCTCCCTCTTGTCTTCCCTGTGGTGTTCTATATTTTTGCCAAGCCAAATACCATCATTAACTCTAGATCTTTGGCAGAATAGCGCATCAAAACATCCTGCTATATTAACAGTTCCAGGTGGAAACAAATTGTGCAATTACAAACAAAACAAACATGATTTTTAAATCCATATTGTTCTATTTTATGACCAAGACGTGTATTGTTATTGGAGAAATTGTTGTTTTCGCACCGGTTTAGTTTCCTTAAAAGAAGCGGTCAACTTGTTAAGGACTATCTATTTCACCAAGCAAGATGATGAGGATACATGACTAGGATGGCGAGGATAGCCAAGATGAGTACAGCGAGGATGATGCGGATAGCTAGGATGATGACGATAATCAGGGGGGTGGGGATAAACAAGATGATGAGGATGAGAAATATGATGAGGATAGCAAAGATGATTACGGTGATGGTCCATACAATTCTCCAATTTTCTCTCAAAGAATGGAGCCACTTACTAAGGATGAGACCGTCAATCTCATCGCGATCCTACCATCAAGTGTGCACTACTTGGGAGGCCCTTTGTGCACCATTCAACTAACACCAACATCGTCAAACACATCATGGTATGTTTTGTATTATTTCCTCTTTTTTGTTCATAACACTACATGGTGAGATGTCTAACATTGTGTGCTCTATTTACTTTTAATCACGGGGATCATAGAATTACCCATGAAGATGGTTTTCATGCAGAACATCCCGGCCATCGGCAGAGGTGGAGTACGCTTTGGAGCAGCATGGCTTGTCGCCACCGTTCAGTACAAGACGAAAACAGATGACCACATATTGTTATATGTGGCTGACTGGCGGGAGTTTCTGACAGAAAAGAGGCGACTAAGGGTCGACACACCAGTGGTAATTACGATAAGAAATAGAAGCAACAATAACTTGCAAATGATATTTCTCATTGACCTTCTTTAGAAATAAGGTCCAAGTCATGAATATGTAATCCGATAAACTCTTAGTTAGTTTGTTAAGATGGACAAATTTGAAGTTAGTTTGTTAAGTTGAACAAATTTGAAGTGTTAGTTAGTTTTTTCTTTGTTAAGAATTATATAACTATGTCAATTTACCCTGCACTGCCATGGCAGAGCCATGACAAGTAATATGTTTTGCCCGGTCGACTATGTCAGTGGCGGGCTCTAGTTTTCAACTGCCACAACTGCCATGTTGCCAGTGGTGGGCGCCCCCCGAGAGCCTCATCCGCCACTACTGGGCCTTTTGGCGCCCACTACTGATAGGCATTTCTGCATTAGTAACCTACACTTGTTGACAAAAATCTAGCATAGCATAATGAAAACTATGTTGAGGACCTTGCACCATCGAACAACTGTTACTGTTGTTAGAAAGAGCCATCGATGTGCCACCGTCTCAACCCACCTACCACTTGGACAGAAGTGGGTGTGGTGAATACATGTGCTTAAATAACTATACGTACTTGAAGTTCCATTGTTTTAAATTTGCTTGTTTATTTGTAAATTCGGCTGCAAAAGTCCAAAATTTCTGAATTCTCCCTTTTCTGAAAGAATGAAATCCCTATTTCTCTGCCATGTGCATTGCAAATCCCAAAAGGTCACATGTTTTTAGAGGACACATTTTTACAACTTGCCACGTTTTTTAGAGGAGGTTTTTTATAAACTTGCCATGTTTTTAAGAGTTGCATTTTTATTGTTAAGAGCATGGAATTTTTATTATTAATAACATGACATTCTATTATTAAGAGGATGTCAGTTATATTTATCAAGATTATGTAATTTAAATAATTACTAAAATGCTATTTTTGTTATTCAAATTAAGAGGATGACAAATTTATTAATAAGAGCATGAGATTTTTATTATTAGTAACATGTTTTTTTATTGTCAAGAGGATGATATTTTTAAGATTAAGAGCATGTCATTTTAATTATTAATAACATGGTATTTTTATTATTAGGAGGATGGCTGTTTTATTATTAATAGGATGACAACTTCATTATTGACAGCATGGCATTGTTATTATTGTTGGCATGACTTTTTTCACAAGATAATGGCGTTTTTTTTGTTAAGAGGATGCAATTTTACATTTTTATTGGTGCCGCATTTTGTATCATCATAGTAAATCTATAACTAGAGAAATCACAGTTTTATAAAGTAGCTTAGAAATTTTAATTTTGTTTAGAGCAAAGCGTTTTTATAAATATAAGTGTTTCTCTGTTTTCCATTTGAAAATTTGTATTTTTTTCTAGTGGCAGTTTTAAAGTTTATCATTGCAATTTTATTTTTCTAAATCACACGACCTTTTTTTTATCATACTCATAAGAGAAACAATTGTTTTATAAAGTAGCATGACATTTTTCATAATTCAGAGCATGCATGTTTTAAATTTTAGTTTTTCTTTTGGTTTTTATAGGAATTGTTTTTTGTTCACGGCAATTTTTAAATAAAAAACAGTTAACTGGACCTTTTAGGCCAATCGTGGTTTACGCTGGCCGGCCCTAGCGAACGAGACGAAAAGTTTCCTGGGAGCTGCTCCCCTGGCGAGCAAAATCTTTCGTTGGGACCAACTCCCTGGTGACTGGTCGCCAGTTATTCGGGTCCATGGGTGTAACGAGATAGCTAATGAGAATAAAGAAAAAATCTGGCCAAATCTACTACCTCGAGGAGACAGCTAATGATAATAAAAGAAAAACAATCTGGCAAAATCTGCTACCTCGAGGAGACAGCTAATGAGAATATTAATGTGGACAATTCTCATTGGTCTTGCCAAAACTGATTGTGTAAATAATAAATGCAATAGAAATCTGTATCTAGTATGGAATTTACGTGAAAAATCTGGAGGATCTTGAGAAAATTGAGTAATTAAAACTAGATTTTGTAGAGGCCTTTATAAGGATGCCGTTACATATGCTACCTCAAACCCAAACCCAAAGGAGAGAGATACACAAACAAGAGCACGGACAAGTTTAGGCATTTCATGTATGGAGGGGAAAACTACTCTATGCTTTCTCATGGTGCTTCTGCTGCTAGGAAACTGCGCACATGCTGGTATTGCTCACTGTCTCCCCCTCTTGTCTCTCTTCTGGTGTTCTCTGTTTTTGCCAAGCCAAATAGCAGCATTAGTTTTAAATCTTTGGCAGAAAAGCGCATGAAAACATCCTGATATATTAACAGTTCCAAGTGGAAACAAATCATGCAATTACAAACAAAACAAGCATGAATTTTTTTATCCATAATATTCTATTTTCTGGCAAAGATGCGTATTGTTATCGGCGAAATTGCTATTTTCACACTGGTTTGTTTTCAATTTGCAAACAACAAAGTATATTACGCAGTCTTCTTGCCCTAAAACGTGCAAGTACTGCACGTATTCCAACAAGCAACTTCGGGAATTTCTTTGAAAATACGACAATGTGGAAATGTGTTTCCATGGTCCGTTGTGGCCTATTTCAAAATGTACGTGCTGATAGAATACGCTAGTATATGTCACATATTACAGGGCGTTTGTATCTCCTTCAAGGCCTTAATTTCTCTGGTCTTGGCTTCGGTGGGGCTCTGAAAATACATCAGCTTATATGTAGCGTTTGACGACCAATATTTTGTTTCCTTGCAGAGAACAGCTGCAAAGAGCACCGTACTTTGGAGATAGGCTGCATAAGAAAATATTGTAGGAAAAACTGCAACAGAGACTACGAAGGACATCGTGTCAGGAATGCTTATTGTACTGGCTTTATCCCCTTCGTCTTTTGTGTCTGCGACGTCTGTGACGGCTAGAAGTATTACACATGTAAGGAGACAATGCAACATCACATGATGGGGTTCATTTACACAAATGAATCATCAAGTTTGGCAATAATAAATTTTGTCTACGTAAATGTGTGAACATGATACTACCTAGTTAATTTGTAACGTGGTTGTTTTTGCATAAGCACAATCATGTTTTATTCACAGATTCCGTGTGCCTCCATCCACGGGCTAGAAACCTTGAAATAAGTTTGACTTCTACATTAGTACTTTCTTCGTTTTAAAATAGATGACTCAACTTTATACTAACTTTATTATAAAATTAATACAAAGTCGAGTCATCTATTTTAGAACGGAGGGAGTAGCTACTAACCCTTTCCTCTCACCCCAAAAGAAAAAAACTACTAACCCTTTCAAATGGACAGATGGGCCCGGCGGAGGGAGTCCAGCTCCAAGCACCAAAAATTGCTCCTTCACCTTATTTCCTTATTTAATTTCCAACAGTTGCTAAAAAATGTAATCTCCAACATCCACCCCCAAAAAAGTTAATTTCCAATCATATACCATTTGACGAAGAACACGCAAAATCGGCTGGTAGTCAATTGCTGCCTGTTTTAGCCTGTACCATGATTAGAAAAAAAAACTTCTCAACTGGACACCTTAGTTTGGCAGGTACTTAATACTCCCATCGGGACATCAGTATGAATTTAGTAACTAATCAAGCTAAATCTGCATGAACAGCAGGCAGGGAAAACATTGACCACCGTATATGTTCACACTAAACCACCGCCCGGTTATGCCTACGAAATTAGCAAGTTTCCAATCTATCTCTATAATATATCCTTTTAGATACACAAAGATTAATTGGCTTATATATAAAGAATATATTCTTATTCTTCTGGCATATCTTCTCTCAAAAATTAAAAATTTTTATCAGAAATACTAACTGGCGAATATTCGCTGGGAGGGGATGCCAAGCGAATGTTTTTGATGGAATTTTGAGGTGGTAGCATATGGCAATTTCTTTCCTTTTTGCCGCAAATGAATCAGTTAGATAGAGGTATTGACGGAGGTATTGACGGCACTTATCTGCCTCGAAGCTCTCCAGATCAGCATTACGTACATATGTTGTTGGGGAACGTAGCAGAATTTTAAAATTTTCTACGCATCACCAAGATCAATCTATGGAGTCATCTAGCAACGAGGGAGAGGCGAGTGCATCTACATACCCCTGTAGATCGCGAACGGAAGCGTTCAAGAGAACGGGGTTGATGGAGTCGTACTCGTCGTGATCCAAATCACCGATGACCTATCGCCGAACGGATGGCACCTCCGCGTTCAGCACACGTATGGTTGGGAAGACGCCTCCTCCTTCTTGATCCAGCAAGGGGAAGGAGAGGTTGATGGAGATCCAGCAGCACGACGGCGTGGTGGTGGAAGCAGCGGTGATCTTGGCAGGGTTTCGCCAAGCTCTAACGAGAGAGAGAGAGAGAGAGAGGTGTTACGTGGGGAGAGGGAGGCGCCAGAGACTTGGTGCGGCTGCCCTCCCTCCCCCCACTATATATAGGGTCCCTAGGGGGGGCGCCGGCCCTAGGAGATCCAATC